TTTATAGTTTATAATACTATATAACTTAAATTGAATTGATTGTAGTGCTAAGTGCTAGGTAGGATACCTAGACCTGTACAGCCAAGTACATATCACCTCTTGCAGGACTCAACTTTGCCGTTGAGAATCTTTGCGAATGTTGGCAGCAGCAACAGCTGTGTGCTGTTGAAAACGGATGGCAGCGGGGGTCGCTTTTGTGGGGTTTTAAAATTGAAGATTTCTCTACAATACAGCACTCACTGTCACCAGTCGCTAGGCTAGACTCGACTGACTAGCTTCAGACTCACTAGTCACTAGATTACTAGATCACAAACGGTTGCGCTGGACTGGACCCCAAAAAAAAACAGAGGGATGGTGCTGCTTAGTCAGTCAGGGCAGGGGCAAACGGCAATCCATGTAAGGCTATGTAGGGCAAGGCTGTATTTGGCGCTGGTTTGGGTCCAGACTTTGGAGACCACATTCAACACGAGACCTCAACTAGAAGTTTTCATTTGGGTCAATTTCCACAAAATAATCGTTAGTTCATGTTAGTTAGTTAGTTTGTTCTCAATTCCGTTCCTTGTTTTCTGGGAAGTGTGAATATTATCGAATGACCTGACCTTGTCCCCAATCTTTTTCACAATGATCAAGAATCAATCAAACACATGATCACGCTCCAAAGTACAGTTCGACATTTAAGTTTTTAAAATCGAAATGCAATATAATGCAATTCCCCGGTTTCACATGTCAAGTTTGGTTCACCGGAATTGTGGTTTTTGCTGCGACATGGCCGACGTCAACGTGATGGCAGATTGGAGCGCTGGCTTAGTTCCCCATGTTGTTCCTGAAAGGCCTTGTCCTTGCAAACAATGGTCAAAGGTCCCAGCCGGGCCAGATCGTCTAAACTTACTTATGAAGATGTGGGTGGACGGGCTTCCGGGGGAAAGTCGGGAAGCGTTGCGGGAGTTTGTGTTGCTAGGCTGATCTGAATTGTTCAGGAATTTATGTGGGCTTGAACAGAATTGTTCAGGAATTTATGTGGGCTTGAACAGCATAGAATTTGAAAGAACCTAGAGAGCCTACAATCTAGAATCTACAACCACAGACCAAACTAATTTAAATTTAGATTATCAGAGAATTGGAAAGAATGCTCGGTAGTTTCAAGTTAACAAATTTCAACTCAACAGTTTCGATCGATTTGATTGGGACCCCAGAACTGTATGTTACTTCATAGTGTATAGATATGTATGTATTACTGTATTATATATATGTGGGTATGTTACAAAATGAGGCACCCTTGTTGGCCCCCAAAATGCAATGTTAAAGTTAAAGGAAATGAATTAAAAAAACATATATATTCTTGAGACCACCATTAAACCAAATATATTTGGAGTACTGATACTGTATGCATACATAACAAAAATAGTAGGTTAATCACAAGTTATATATACAAACAAATATATATATATATTTATATATAGTGTATGCATATTTCTTATCTTAACAATATGCCGTGGTATTAAAAATAAAAATGAAAATGTGATATTACATGGTTTGAAATAATGGTAATCATGTTTTTAATGTAATATAATATATGTATATATATTGCATAGAACACAATATATCATATATAATATATATAATATCTAATATTTAATATATAAAATATAATCTACAATATAAAATATAATATATATAAATAATATATAATATATAAAACATAACATAGAAAATAATATATATATATATGTAAGCTTTGCAATATAAATAAAATATTTATAATACATAATATTTAATACGTAATAAAATATAATGTAAATATAATATATATATATATTATGTATCTTACGAAGGCCAGCCGAAGGCTTAGGCTGGAGTCTTGTTTTCGAGGGGGCATTCCAAGAGTGTCACTCCAAGAGTGTCTTACTAAGAGTGTCTCGCTGAGAGTGTCTTACTAAGAGTGTCTCACTCAGAGTGTCTTACTAAGAGTGATTCATCAAATGTTTTTTACAAGATATGATAAACGCTGGGCCAAGGAAACCCAAATGATAAAATAGATTAGATAGATACTAGGTTACTAGATCATAGCGTATATGGTGGTATATTACATATTATGTCGAAGAATTCTAGCCCATGGTTTGATTCTGTCTCTCTGTCTCCAGCTCAGCATTGGGCCTTTCTCAGGCTAGACCCTGGAACATCTGACAACATGTCGCTGGGCACGTTTTGCTCTGGAACTGACTGCGCAGTGCAAGTCTTTCAGTCTTTCTTGGCAGCTTGTGCAGCTTCGTTTGAGATCCCTGTTGCCGACATGCCTCGTTTCCAACATTTGTTCAGTTGCGAGAAGGACCAAAAGAAGGGAGAGTTTTTGCGAAGGTTTTGCAACATGGGCCGCCTTCACCCAGATGCTTTGGAGCCTGTCGGGGAACATGCAGCTGTTGTGTCAGCAGGGTTCCCATGTGACGACGCTTGTGCTCTCCACCCTCACTCGTCATCAGACAAACACCGGACATGCGTTGCTGAGGAGAGGGTTGAGATCGAGCATTTTATGATTCATTGGGGCATTGGCATTGACTATGTAGTATTGCTTTTATTTATTAGAATTAATACTGTGCATGTATTGTGTTATGTCATGTTGCGTTGTGCTGTATCAAAGTGTACTTGTCTGTTTTCTGCGCGTTACAAGGATTATCAATTACATGTGTAGCCTGCAGGTACAATAACTATACTTACCACACCTTAGTTTCAGTATTCTATATTTAAAACCACTATACTATATAATACCACTTAGTATTAACAATGTCGTACTTGTATACGATCATACTAGCAGGCAATGTAATGTAATGATATCTGAAATCTTGACATTGTGTAAGCGATGGATCCTGGCAGGGCTCTTTGCGCACAGGGGCCGTCTTTCGATCCATTGCAAAGTACTTGGCAGAGAACGACAAGGTCAGCTTCTTCCAGTTTGAGAACGTTGTGGCTCTTGCCAACAAGCCCTCTGCTCCAGCATCAACAGATGATGCATGTTCAAAGAAGCAGAATCAGAAAGTTGCGGGGCCCAGCAACCTATCTGCTGTTTGCTACGTGTTGGACAAGCAATGTGATATGTGGAGCCATGTCTGGCAAGTGGATTCCAGAGACTTCGGAAGTGGGCAGCAAAGGCAAAGACTTTACGGATCATGCTTCAAGAAGAACATGTTGTCCATGACTTTGACGAAGGCTCATGCAATCTGTTCGGAGACCATGAAACTCCTGGTTGGGGTTGAGCCTTGCCATCCTACCGAGTACTTGCTCCCAGAGACCTCTGGAGTTCTTCAAGCTGAGCAGTCCTTACAACTCATGCGTTCACTTCCAGCAGAAGCTTTTCTACTTGGAGACAGCAAAGAACCAAGTTCATCGGCGACATGGTCCATCGCACAGCTTTTTCAATCTCATGGCACTTTGCCATGTGCATTGAATGTGGCCAACAAGCGTCGGAAATTGACCAAGCAGACCAGTGACCCTGCATCACCAAAGTCTAGATGGGTACAAGTTCATGCCGATGCCTTCCGCCAACGCGGGGAGGAATCTTTGGATGGCTTGAGATTCTAAATTGTTGATTTAGATTTCAGGTTCTTGAAGATAGAACCGCGGACTTTTCCACTCTGGGTTCTGGATGCTAGATTCAGCAGTTTCTAAATTCTAAATTTGATTTTCTTCTGGTTCTCAAAATCAACTCACAGGCTTTGCGAGTATTGATTAGGTCTAGGTCGATTAGATTCTTAGATTTGTAGATTGGCATTGACAAGCAACATCTTGTTCTCAGCCCCTTGGGTTCCCTGTTTTGCAGGACAGATCGCACTTCCAAAAGCCATCTGCCAATGTGGTGGACACATTCCCTATCCTCAGGACTTTGACCCAACGCCAACTTGAAATCCTTCATTTGAAGGGGGTCAGCGTCCCCGATACAGATTTCAGAGTTGTGGATTTGTCTCAGAACCTCAAGTTTGCCTCAGTCTCCACTGGCAAGATGCCTTGCATAACGCCTGATGGTGCAAAGTTCTTGACGCAGCAGGTGCGGTTCCTACATGGTTTGGAAGCTCTGCGCTTTATGGGGATCTACATGGACGAGGCGCAGTTGGTCCAACACTACAGCTCTTCCTTTTTGCAGGACCTAGCGGGCAATGCTTATGAGACTTCGTCTTGTGCTGCCAACTTTCTCACTTCAATGGTCTTCCTTGCGCACAACCTGATGTGCAAGCGCAAAGCTTCTTTTCCCTTGCAGCTACCTGTATGCCTTGGGACCCAGGTGGACACGAGAGACCAGGACCAAGAGGACGTTGAGTTCAATTTCTGTCTCACTTTTTTGTGGCAAAACGCCTCTAAGTCTGAGCCTATGTCAGAGTCTAAGTCTGAGTCTCTATTTGAGTAAGTCTGAGAGCCTAAGGAGAGGCCTAAGACAGTGCAAGACTGTGAGAGGGCCCTTGGCTGGCGAACTTTAGATTTTAGTTCAATTAATTCGATGACGTCAGAGACATGAGGCATGCTGAGAAAACATGTGAAGAAACCTGAGCATTCAGCCATTCTCCACATGTCACTTACAGTTTCATTTGTGCCGCTTTGCGTTCCATTCCTCTTGAGACTCTTGAAGCATTGCTGAGCCATCCCTCTAAGACTCTAAGAAACTGTTTCCTCTCCTTTGTTTTTAAATTTTGCTCAGGGTATCCAAGTGTTTGCAACACGACTCAGCTGTCTGACTAAGTTCAGACAGACGTTTTTTTGGGTTGAAGTTCATAGTGAGCCAACCCTCCGTGCGCGAGAGTTTTGAGATCCGGACATGGCAGATGTTCCTGCAGACGATCTACCTCCCTTGGTCGTTCCAGAGGGGGCTGTTGATGTCCTTTGCAAGTTCTGCAATCGCAGCAAGTTCACCACTCCGAACGCAACTTTGTCACCCCAGTATGCTATCCCGCTGGGCCAGCGTACGCTGCGCTGGCGAAGAGAAAGAGGCAACGTGTGCTCTAGTTGCTTCAATTTCCAGTCCAGAAAGTCAACAAAGGCAAAGTTCAAAGCCGCAGCAGTACTTTGGCCAAGTTCTTCGCAGCATTTTCAAATTTTAAATTTGCAGAGCCAAGGGAAAACTTCTTTTGTTTCAATATCTCATGAATTATCTGCATTATATCCGTACGTTCACCATTGCAGCGGCCATCTCAGTCAAAGTAGGGGAAAAAGAAACGTGAAATTAAGACACTATCACTAAGAAGAAGACATTATATCAGTTGAAACAAAGTAAGACTTTCGAGTGGCAATGACATCGGAATCGAGATTGTCCTACTTACTTTACTACAGTTTCGAGGCTTACGCATCACCACTTCGCTATATAGATAATACACACATTATAATATATTAATATATATATTATATATATATTGTATGGACATTTGATTTCATCTAATACTTAATTACTTAATAGTTGCTATTTTTTTTCAAGTAAACACGCGCACACACACACACCCTACTCGATAATCATCCAGTCCATCTCTTCGGAATTGTCCTGTTGCCCCTCCGAAGGTACAGGAAACTTTGAGAGATGGCAGTGAGCAAGCCGAGTATGATGCAGACTTGGCAAAGTTTGAAGCGGAGAAGAGGGAGGAAAACGATGCGAAAGCAGAGAGTGAATCGCAGGCTGTGGGCAAGAAGGGCAGCAAGCGCAAAGCAGCAGCAGCGGGAACGACCTTGTCTGCGGGGTCTCTTGAATTAATCCAAACATTTCATTCCTTTTGCTTTTGGACTTTTGGTAGTCGCTAGTCAGTCTGGTCTAGTCTTGTCTAACCAAGTTAGGGTCTGGTCACCTCTGTCTTTTGATATGGTTACTAATGTTCTCCCAAGTTCCCAAAATATATGCTATCCCAAGGCCCGAGACTATTCAACCTGCTGCCGTTTATCTTTTTGAAATGAAACCTGTCACCTGAAGAAACTGTTTCCTTGATGTGTTGTCGTGAGGTATGTTTTCAATACTGCACTCGTTTGCGTGGGATCTGGATTTTGGAGGGGACCATCATTTTTGGGGGGTCAAGAATGAAAGCAAATTTTGCTACTGAGATACGCAGAAACATGTTTTTAAGTTTAGTGAGAAGTCACACTTGTTTGCATTACCCTTCATAACAAATCAGGCACAGAAGTGGAGTGCGTCTTGAAGAGTTGAGAGGATACTTGTGGCCTCTTCCTGTCTATCAGCGCGTGAAGAAAGAGAAACCACCAAAGGAGATGACTGTGCACACCATGGCCTTCAACGGTCGCATGGTGAAAGGAGTCCTTCTGGATGAATCTCACGGCAGACCCGTGGGTAGCATTGCAGTGTACTCAGAAGACAATCGTTTTGTCGACAAGGCCAGTGACATACTGAGCACAATAAAAATAAAATAAAAGCCAAATATACACAATGGTTTTGGGGCAATGTTGGGGCCATGTTGAGCCTGTGCTTGGCCAAGCATGGCCCGTTCTTTTAAAGCCTGGAAACCACGCCTAAAAGAACGGATCATGTCGGGCCATGTTGGGCCTATGTCATTTGTGGGACCTATGTTGGGCCTGGGTCTACTGGGCCTGTGTTGGTTCATGTTGGGCTCTTGTTAACTCTTGTTGGTCCAAAAGGAGGGGATCATTTAAGCAGTTTAAGTTTAAGTTGAAGCCTTGACTTAAAGGCGTCCATGACAACAATGATAATTTTTGTTTTGGGGGGGGAAGTTGGGGTTGAAGCTTATGTTTCGCCTCTGTTGGGCTGCTTGCCTGTATGTCTGTAGGTATGCTGCTGTGCCTGCATCTCTCATTGTTTTTTTTACATTTGTTGTCGAACTGTTTTTCCTGTTTGATTACGCACTGAAATTGAAACGCTGTACCTGCAACTGTAACTTCGGGTCAATGTTGTAATGTACAAGTTTACTAACTGGATACTTGCCCCTGATCCAGGACGCAGAGATCTTGAGATCAGAGGATACGATCGACGATGAAGAGATGGACGCTAGCTGGAAGCAAATGCAGAGTGCAACCAGCATCAAAGGACGACTGGCACTGGCACAATCAAAGTTGTTTTTTCCCAAGGATAGAGTGGGATAGAGATATTAGGACTGTCTGTGAAGATGAAACTATTTAGTAACTGAAGACAGTAACTTTATATCTGTATATATGTATATATTAACATGAATATATATATATATGCTGCATATTACAATATCTATCTATGCAATACTATAATACTAGACTATGTGCTTTATAGTATCTAGAATCTAAAATCTAGAAAATACTACATACTAGTTCATTTATTGTCATATACTATCTACCTTACTACAGTATATGTATACTAAATACTACAAAATATACTATATACTATATACTATATACTATAGTACTATATACTACTAGTACTACTAGTACTACTAGTACTACTAGTACTACTAGTACTACCGCTACTACTGCTGCTACTGCTACTACTGCTACTACTGCTGCTACTGCTACTACTGCTACTACTGCTGCTACTGCTACTACTGCTACTACTGCTACTACTGCCACTACTGCTGCTACTGCTACTGCTGCTACTGCTACTACTGCTACTGCTGTTTATTCATTTCCTATTTACTAATCATTAACACTATAACTTTCACTATTATTATATGTATTTCCCTGAGGACTTTCGGTCGACAATGGCGAAGTGACCATGGTGCCAAGTCAGGCCACATCATCAGGGCAAACTTCTTCGATTATGGATGATCTAGACGACTTGTGGGGCAACCGCTCCATTGTTGATGAGGTGAAGATGACAGCGAAGAAGCGCAAACAAGTAGCCGAGGCCCGGTCTGGGAATTCGAAACAAATTGTGTTGATCATGTTATTTTGTTGTTATATATTTTATTATATATAAATGTTATATTATATTAAAACAGTTCAGTACCTCTATTTTTCATGCCCGGAACATCGCAGAATCTACCAATCCAGTTTTGTCAACCCAATGAAACAAGGGCTGCGATGTGTGTTTCTTGACTTTGGTTTGTTTTTTTTCCAACCCGTTCAAGCCCCTTCACTTTCACTTTCACTTGTGACCGCTTGCAGGTTGAAGACTCTGACATGGCACCATCTGGTGCAGAGGCCACTGGTACAGGTACAGAGACTGAACAAATTGAGGAGGATCAACCAGCTCAGCAGGATGATGAAAACATTCCCGCGAAGAAAGAGGCTCAGGTTCCAAAGGTGGCTCCCAAGGCACCAGTGAAAGCGAAAGCAGCAGCTGCCTCGAGTTCTTGTCCCCAGGGTTCCCAGAGTGCCATAGCGGCTCTTTTCAGTACTTCCGGAAAGGGCAAGTCTGGAGGTAAAGGCAAAGGGAAAAGGGGAGGGACATCAAACAAAGAGGTTGCCAAGTCCGACGCTGTTGCTACTGATGCCGGTCAGCTTCTTCAAATGTTTGATGAACCTTCAGAGATCTTTGGAGTGTCCATCAAGAAAATGGAGGATGTTCATGAAAAGATCAAAGGCCGGACTGGACGATCAATTTCTTCAGTGTTTCCATCTTCAAAAACATCAGAGACTTTTTTTGGGCAGGGGGTTAGTTACTGTTAGTTAAA